TCCATTCGCTCACACACGCAAATGTTCGAGTGAGAACACAACAGTTTCTGTATCAGTCCGTAAAGACACAGTGGTGTCAGTCCTGACGAAGCTTGTCATTGTGATCTTTGCCGATGCGATGTCGACCCTTCGGTCACGTGATGCTGAAGTATAGGGATGCCCTTCAGCATTGTCACAGTAATATCATTAAACTTACTAGTAATGTTAGTTTGATCACCTAAACTACACTTAATGGAAAATTGTTTGATATNGTATCCCAATCATTGAGCTTTATGTAAAACACCATTCTATTTCTTTAATTTTTGCAAGTTTCAATGAGCATGACGGCGATGTAGAAACACTTGCTAGCGAGCAATATAGACTTCAAATATTCATCACAATTAATGTTATATGTCAAATCAGTCAGAAATTAACTTTTACTTTTACTGAATTTGAGTGGTATAACAAGTATATACTTATAATGATTGTAAAATACACTTCATGCAAGTGTTGAAATAAATAAAATATTAACACTTCAGTGTTGCGGCGTTAGAAATTGTGACTTTTTGTATTTTAGACGTATTCGCTAGCACTTGCAATAGCTTATAGCTAACATCTTCAGGCAAAAAATTGAATAATCAAAGACAATTATTTTCGAATGTACACCTTTGAACGTACTTTTGAAATTATCTAATGCATGTGGATGGAATTCAGAGAAAGTTGATTTTAAAATTGAAAGATGTTCGAATTTTATAGAAATGAGCTGCAAATGTAATATCCCCAAAAATACTTAAAAAGCAATAAAAAGAGTTGTATTTGATTGTGCTTATAGCAGAATCAAATACAACTCTTTTTATTGGTTTTTAAATGAGAAAGTAAAATCATAATTTAAATTGTTTGAATAATGTTATCCACAGTTGAAGGATTTCTGTGTATTGCTTGGTGTTACAGCAGATATATAGAGGCTCTCCCATATGAATACTTCTCTTTAATTGTTGCACCAGTTAAGTAATTGATTTAAGCACTGATGATTTCACAAACGAATCGCTAATGCGAATAAACGGAAAGTACCGTAACGAATGGAAGACGAGTAATCGAGGCACAAACCTACTTACCCTTGCTCTAAGCTCGACGTTCTTTGCCTCGAGCTCCATCAGCATCTGCCGATAAATGGAAACCTGGCGCTGCAAGGATTCCACAGTAGCGGGATCGTGGCCTGCCAGCCGTTCGCCAATGTACCTGTTAAGCAAGTGTAGGACGAGGTTTGCGTGGCATTTGCGACAACGCGAATCGTCTGGTGAACGCTTGAAACCTGTTGAAACCGAACGTCTTTGCGCACCTATTTTGACCGGTGATGCGAACAACTAACCGTTCGGTTAACGCTGTCGGCGCTCGACATTTATGCGTAGGCGGCACTTCGGTTGTGCACCCGTATCGTATCTGTGACGAAAAAAGAAACCATCAAAACGCTTACATCTTCGAGTAAAAGGATAAGAGAGCTGTCCAATTTTAAGCATTGGACTTAGCCCTTAGGAAACTGAAAGAAGGGAAAGCATGAGATTTGAAGTGTGAAATACAGTAGGACAGGATAGTGTAAAGGAAGGCATGGGACCCTTGCGCGTCGGCTCCGCTTTTATTAAGACAAAATCATACATTTTGTATACCAGATAAATATACAAACTGGTTACAATCCAATTATTTAAGTCCTGACAATTTTAACTTATATATTTATGTACAGTAGTTCGAATAAGAACACAACATTAACATTGTGATATCATTTTCTAATGGGCAACCGTTCACAATCTACAAGTCTAAAGAAAATGTGTTACAAATTATATACTTATGGTTTACTTAACCATTTACAATTTTTTTTTTTAATTGCCATTGAACTAAAATACCCAATGGGTTTACATGATTATATTGTTAATCCTTAATTACATATACTTTCAATTTCGGTTAGTCCGTGTAGCTGTCTTCGTTGTCGTCTTCGCTTTCTTCACTAGTCGTTATTTCTTCTTTGTTGTTGTCGTCCTCATAATCTTCTTCTATATCGATGTTTTCGTTTTCTGTTTTTGAATTCTTCTCACGTTCATTTTTCTGGTTGCGGCGAGTACGTTGGTGATTTTGGTGAGGAAATTTTACCATTACTTGCGTTTCTGTAATGTAAGTTTCTAATGCCTTTATGAGGTTCTTGTTGGTCACCATGTCAGTGTGTTTAGGCGGCCAGTTGTAACCTGCACGTAGACAGCTTTCAGTAAGTTCGTTCCATTTGTTTTATGTATTTCGTGCACTCACATATGTAGTGGTGAACATTGTCTTCTTTGTCAATGTCCACATCACACATAGGTTTATCCGTTTTTTGAAGCGATAAAGATATGCTTTAAAGTTGCCGTGTGCAGTAATGCATTGTGTGTTTCCAAAGGACGGTTTAAAGCTTTTATTTTGTAGTCTATCTTTGATGTTTGGAAAGAATTTGTAACAATGTCTGCCAGTTGTTGAATCATTCCACTCCTGTNTACCATGAGTAATTTTTCTGTAAAATTTTGTTGGGTTGCAGTATCTTTTCCGGTATAAATTATGAAATTATATAAATAGCCAGATACGGACTCGCATAACATGTAAAATTTCACACCGAAACGAGACCGTTTGAGAGGCATGTATTGTCTCCACGAAAGACGTCCTTTGAACAGCATCAAACTCTCATCCACCACTATATCCCTTTCTGAAACATACAGACGCGAAAATTTTGAACTATTGGCCAAATTTTATTCAGTTTAGGGTTTGGATGAGTTCGCGGATTATAATTTTGATTATTACTAAAATGCAAATTTTGTTTTATTTCCAAAAAACGATTTCTTGACATTAATCTTCGAAAAATTGGAGTGGAAAGTGTTTCGTTCGTGGTCCAATACATCCTCTCATCCGGTTTCTGAATTATGCCTTGCAATAATATTATGCTAAAGAACATAAACATTTCCTCAATGCACACAGGAATCCACTGCCTCCTGGATGTCTGCGGTTTCGTTACAGCGTATCTGTTGGTTTCTGTCGTAATTTGGTCCACCAACTCGTTATCAAAAAATAAACGGAAGTAATCCAATGGTTCTGTAACTTGTGTTGTAGAAAACCGACACCCAGGAGACCCAGTGAATGAAAATCGTGGGGGAGGCGTTGGGAAAGTGGTGGCGTTAGCATCACACCACGATCTAGCAGCATCTCTTCCTGCATCTGAGTCGTCCGAGCTGCTAGAATCGTCGATGCTTGGGACGTACGACTCAGATCCGCTCTCAGAGAGCCCCATAAAACTATCTTCGCTATCGGACATTCTAAAAATAAGGAATATATTCTGAAAACTGTCTTATTGTTTTGTTATACGCTAAAAATTACAGATTATTCTCCAGAATACATAAAATTATAAACTTACTTGATAAGATAAGATGAAAAACTCAGTAAAACAGTAAAAACTGTCGATAAAGTCTAAAAATAAGGAATATATTCTAAAAACTGTCTTATTGTTTTGTTATACGCTAAAAATTACAGATTATTCTCCAGAATACATAAAATTATAAACTTACTTGCTAAGATAAGNCTTTCCACACCATAGAGGAAAACTGACCAAATATAACATTCGGCCATGCGTTGCCGCAATCTCAAATTTAAATTGTCGTTGCAGAGCAGGGTTTTCATTTTTTGGAAGGATGTTCTAGCTGCTGCTATCCTGCATTTAATTTCTTTCCTTAAATCAATATTTTATGTAATTATGCTTCCCAAGTATTTAAACTGTTTGACCCGTTCAATTTTTTTTTTTTGGTCAAGAACAAGTTGTGCCTCTCTATGTGGGGTCTGACTAAAAATCATAAATTTAGTTTTGTTCGCATTTATTTTGAGACCGGCATCAATTCCTGCTGAGTTAATTTTGTTTAGTAGTACCTGTAGTATTCTAGGTTGTCGCATATGATTAGTGTATCATCAGCATATCTAATGACGTTAAGAATTACGCCGTTGATTTTAATCCCATAATTTGAGTTTTCTAAGGCATTTTTGAAGATTTTGTCTGAGTACAGATTAAACCATAAGGGCGAAAGGATGCAGCCCTGCCGGACTCCTCTCTGTATTTCAATTTCTGCTGTTTTCATTGTTCCTAACTTGACTTCTGCTGTTTGACCCCAGTATAAATTTTGAATTATTCTGATGTCCTTGCCATCTAATTGAACTTGGTGTAGGATCTCTATTAATTTGGAGTGTTTCACACTATCGAAAGCCTTTTCATAGTCGATGAAACAAGCAAATATGTCTTTTTGTTGTTCACGACATCTCTGGAGAAGGACGTTGATACTAAACAACGCTTTTCGGTTCCAAAAGCATTTCTGAATCCAAATTGAGTTTCCTCGAGATCAATTTCACATTTTTTATATATCCTGGCGTGTATAATATGTAGAAATATCTTCAGAACATGGCACATGAGACTAATGAGTCTGTAGTCGCTACAACTTTTAGGATGACTTGTTTTAGGGATTGTTACAAAGGTTGATTTTAACCAGTCTTTTGGTATTGTGCCAGTATTGTAGATCCGATTGAATAATCTAGTAATTAGTTTAATATTATCATCATCGATCAATTTCACAATTTCAGTCGGGATTTCGTCAGGTCCGGGAGTTTTCTTATTCTTTGAGATATGAATGGCATGCTTTACTTCTTCGTCGAGTATTTCAGGACCTTCTAATGGGTCTTTATTTATGGGTGTTGGTGTTTCCTCATCGAAAAGTTTTTCAACGTAATGTTTCCACATGTTTTTCAGTTCATTTTCATCAATAATAGGACTGTTATTAGCATCCATTACTATATTAGAGCGATGACACTTGAATGAACCCGTCATTTCTTTGATTTTCTTATGCATCTGGAACATATTATGTTCTTATTCGAGGTTTTCAATTTCGTTGCAGTTTCTCTTTATCCATTCCTTCTTGGCCTTTTTTATCTCTACCTTTATAATGTCATTGATACGTTTGTAAGTTTCTGCGTCATTTTTTGTTAGTCTTCGTTTTTCCATTAAGTCCAGTATCTCTTCCATCATTCATCTTTTCCATCATCCATTCCTTATTCAATTCTTCTTTTACTTGTTTTCTAAATTGTAGTATTTCTATTTTCGTAATATCATAGTGTTGGCTTCTGCACTTTGGTTTAATTGACTTTAATTTTAGTTTGATGTCTGCCACCAGTGGAACATGGTCAGAACCAATATCTGCGCCAGGGAATGTTGTCACCCGTGTTACGCAGTTTCTGTAACGTATATTAATGAGTATGTAGTCTATCTGCTTTCTAATTGGTGTTTGATTTTTATCAGCAGGTGATTTCCAGGTGTAGAGTCTTCTTTTTGGTAATTTGAACCAAGTGTTCTTAATTACCATATCATTTTCCTGGCAGAATTCAAAAAGTCTGTCACCTCTCTCATTGCTTAGACCCAACCCAAAGTCTCCTATCAGATCTTCCCGTCTTCCCATTCCAACTTTAGCGTTGTAATCACCAATAATCATGGTGATATCATCTTTTTTTAGTTTGCCAAGTATCTTATCGATAAAGTTGTATAAGTCTTCTAGCTCGTCTTCATTATTATTGGTAAATGTTGGGGCGTATACAGTGGTGCCTCGTATAACGTACTTAATCCGTTCCAAGTGCATGTCCGTTAAGTGAAAAGTTCGTTATACGAAACGCATTTTCCCATAGAAATACATGTTAAAACATATAATTCGTTCCACAGCATAAAATAACCGTACTGTACCATAAAAAATGAAAATGGAGCAGTCACCAATTATGCCGGGTAGTCAGATGTTGTGAGGAGGAGGTGGAGGAACACCTTCTTTACACATTTATACAGATACAGACTTTTTACACATTGCAGCGGGTCTTTTTTTATNGCAGCATAAAATAACCGTACTGTACCATAAAAAATGAAAATGGAGCAGTCACCAATTATGCCGGGTAGTCAGATGTTGTGAGGAGGAGGTGGAGGAACACCTTCTTTACACATTTATACAGATACAGACTTTTTACACATTGCAGCGGGTCTTTTTTTCATTGTTATTTAATCGGATTCAGATTCAGGAGAGGCTAGAGGAGCTTGCAGGGTCAACTCCTCTTGTTCCATCCTTTGTTTTTTCCCTGCTGGCTTCTTGAAAAACATGTCCAAGATGATCTGTTTCTTTCTCTTCTTCAACATCTGTCGAAAATGACGGGCAAGGGTGTCATTGTAGAGATCATTGATCCTGTTGGCCTCAGCTCTGTTTGGATAGTAAGTGTTTGTAAACTCCTTAACCTCTCAAGGAAGAAAGTTTTTGTCAACTTTCATTCATCCTGATGTTGTCTTGCTTTGTTTCAATTGAAATCATCTTTCTGTTCTTTTTAGAAGCCATGATTTGCACAACACTTGAATAAATGTAAATACCCTGCACTGAGGTGATGTACAGTACGTAATAAACAAGCGAGCAAGCCGAATTTCAACGGGAGCTCTGTACTTCAGATATACTAGTAATATATTCTTATAATACTAATATATTATAAAAATAGCAGACTGTCATTGGCAACGGCAAAAGAGTGAAAACATCATTCGCACTTGTTCGCAGAAAGACCGTTATTCGCCTCACGTAACGGCCAACACAAAGTCCGTTGTTCGCAGCGTCCGTTATTCGAGGCGTACGTTATACGAGGCACCACTGTACTTGTATTATATTAATCCTGAAAGGTTGACCATGTATTTGAAGTATCATCATCCTATCCGATATTGGTGAATGGCCGATAACACATTGCGTATGTTTTGCAGAAACAAATATCCCTACCCCATTTCGGTGGTATTGGCCTTGGTCATTGTTTCCTGAATAGTAAAGCGTTCCGTGCTCATTTTGGCATACTCCAGAACCAGGCCAGCGTAATTCACTAATGCCTAGAATATCTATTTTTAATCTTTGGGTTTTTTTAATTACATTGTCAAACTTACCGGCCATAAAAAGGCTTCTCACATTCCATGTGGCGATACGGATTTTTGATTTCACTATGTTGAGCCGGGAGATTCTTCGCACTCCTCGCCCATCTAAGGGCTGCCTGGGACTAGGGGCCATTGATGTAGGTTTCCTCTCCATAGTGATATCCTGGGAATTGATTAAGGGGTGGTATTCCGTTGCCTTCCCCTGTAATAACCAGCCGCTCCTTACGTGGAGACACTTATCACTAAAAATGTTTAATTTGTTGACTTCTCTTTTAACTAAATATTGAGCAACCGCTGGGAATATTTTTTCACTTCGAATCAAATTCAAATTCGAAATTTTTTCAAAATTTTCAAATTTCAATTTTCTTCAAATTCGAATTTCAAATTATATATATACGAGACACGAAATCCTAAAGACTGTTGCGTGTCTTTTTATCACCATACCAAATTCATTGTACAGTACAGTACATTATAATTATACAGATGGTACGTTCCTGTGAATACATTGATTTATTCGTAAATGAGCAGACTAATTTTGGAGACTACAGTCGACCCCCCTAGAAGATCATAGATACGTTCCATTCTTTAGGAATCCGATTTCTTACGAGTCCTTCCAATCACAGCCCGACACGTGTGAAGTTTACGGACTACGGCTGATTGAAAGGTTTTCTTCCATAAAATAAATCGATTCTAGACTAATCCGATTCAACATTTCCAAAATGCGTATTTTTTTTTGGAAATAATCCGTATAAACTACGCTATAAACAAAAAATTGTAGGATTACTTACCGAGTGTGCACCGTTCGACATCGCCGTTGCTCAAGCTTGTTTTCTTCGCGGAACAGCTCAGCAAACCGCGGCCGATTTCTAATAACTTATTCTTCTGCGAAAAATTCGCTGAACTTTGGAGACATCATTAATATAAACAATTTTAATCGCCGTTGAATAAGAAATGTTCTTTAACAAGAAATGTATAAAATTACAGTACAGTATTAGAGTTACGGTACCTAATTTACATACTGTACAGACGATAGTTCGCGTAAACTCTTTGTAGCGTGGCGCTAAGCTGCGGAAAATATATTTATAATAATAATAAAGTTACAATAAATTAAGTTAATACATAATTAGAGTTACGGTACCTAATTTACATACTGTACAGACGATAGTTCGCGTAAACTCTTTGTAGCGTGGCGCTAAGCTGCGGAAAATATATTTATAATAATAATAAAGTTACAATAAATTAAGTTAATATATAATTATGTATACAGTACCTAATTTATATATAATTAATATATAATTATATGTACAGTACCTAATTTATGTATAATTTATATATAATACTGTACAGACGATAGTAATCTCTCTGTAGCGTGGCACTTGACAGCGGAAAATAGTTCGGCTGCCCGATGACGTTTTACATAATTATAGGAGTTTTTTCACGTTCTTTACAGATACCGTCGCAATTTTTTCGCAGTTTTATAGGAATTGTAATTATAGGAACTCGTTTTATAGGGGGTCTATTGTATTTCGACCATACGTTCGTACATAGAAACGATTCCAACGTTTACTTTACAACATACGAAATTAAAATATTTGAATACATTAGCATATGTTATATGAAAAAATCGATAAATGATGACATTAATCATTTATTTAATGATACAACAGTAAACTGGAAAAATGTAAATGTTTTGCCGGAATTAAAAGCGTATCACAAATATTTGGAAAAGCATCCTTCTCTTAGAGTAAAGATGAAAGGAAATTTCATTCATAAAGAGAAATTGGAAGAATTATTTCAGTCCAGAACAGGAAAAGACAATGGAAGAAAGAATCGAAGAAAAGAGACAAGGCAATGATATTATGAACTTATGGGAAAAGTAAATGAAATATGCTTCTCATTACACGATTTTCATAATGTAAATCCTAATTACTTCTTCAAAAATTTGACTTTCGGAATAAAATCAACATAACAATTAATTGTCTGAATAAATTCCAATAAACAAAATAGATGTGATTATTTATTTGAATT